TAGGGCTTTTATCAAGTGATGTTGAATTTTATCAAATGCTTTTTCTGCATCTATTGAGATGATCATGTGGTTTTTATACTTCATTCTCTTAATGCGGTGTATCACATTTATTGATTTGCATATGTTGAACAATCCTTGTGTCCCTGGAATGAATCCTGCTTCATCATGAGGAATGATCTTTTCAATATGCTGGTTGGATTTGTTTTTCTGGTATTTTGTTGAGAATCTTTTTCATCTATGTTCATCAAGGATATTTTCATTTAATTTTCTGTTTTTAATGTTCTTATTGTGTTTTGATATCAAGGTAATGCTGACATCCTAAAATGAGTTTGGAAGAATTTTCTTCTTTGAAATTTTTTTGGAAGGGCTTGAGAAGGAATGGTGTTAATTATTCTTTAAATGTTTGGTAGAAAACAGCACTGAAGCTATCAGGTCCTGAGCTTTTCTTTAATGGGAGGCTTTTTGTTGCTCATTAAATTGCTTTACTCATTGTTTATCTGTTCAGATTTTCTATTTATTTCTAAATAAGTCTTGGTATGTTGTACGTTTTAAGGAATTTATTTGTTTCTTCTGGGTTATTCAATTTATTGATGTATATTTGTTCAAAATAGTCTCATAATTATTTATATGTTGTGGTATTGAATGTTTCCTTTTTCATTTCTGATTTAATTTATTTGAGTCTTCTCTTTTTTCTTAGTTATTCTAACTAAGGGTTTGTTGATTTTGTTGGAGTTTGTAGTTATTCTAAGTGAAGTAATACGGAGTGGGAAGTTAAAAACTGGGGCCAGTTGAGGGGAAATAGGGGAGGGACGGCGAGGGGTGGGGAGTTGGGGAGAGAGAGCAACGGGAGAGATGCCAGATGTAGGTGATGGGGGGGAAGGCAGCAAATCACACTGCCACGTGTGTACCTATGCAACAATCTTGCATGTTCTTCACATGTACCCCAAAACCTAAAATGAAATAAAATAAATACAGGTTAAAAAAAAAACCTGTATGTTCTCACTTATAAGTGGGAACTAAGCTATGAGCATACAAAAGCATACAGAGTGGTATAATGAACTTTAGAGTCTCAGAAGGGGATGGGAGGGGGCTAGAGATGAAAATTACACTACTTGGGTGACAGGTGCACTCAAATATCAGAATTCACCACTATTTTATTTATTGATGTAACAAAAGGCCACTTGTACTCCAAGTGATTTTTGTGTTTCAGCCTCTTAAGTGGCTGAAATTATAGGCATGCAATTTCTGTTTTTTTTTTTTTT